GCCGACCAGCCCTGATACCGCCGCGACTCCAACTGAGATCCGCGCAGGCTGAAAGTCACGACCCTGGCGATGGCGTCCTCGACCTGGGCAAACCAGTCGGGGAACCCGTCGAGGATTTGGTCGCGCTGGCCACTGCGCGCGTCGCACGTGATCCACGGATTGCCGCAGCCTGCGCTGGGAAGCGCGCCGCCGGACAACGACCTGACGGGGCCCTCGTTGGCGGCGCGCGCGACGTCGCAACCGCGGCCCCCTTGCGCCAGCGGCGCGACCTGGCCCCGCAGCCCGCTTTTGCCAGGGCAGGTCGGCTGGACCAGCCTTGCGAGCGAACCCGTTCTCCTCCTAGCGACGCAGCTTCTCGGGGTCTTCGGCAACACAGTTGCCGAGAGACCCCGCGCATGGCACGGGGCGCACAGGGACATGCGAATGCTACACATAATCCTCGAGGCGCGCGTCCGACCCGAACATATAACATGCCCATAGTGCAGCACATTTCCCGAGCTCCGTGGCCAGAAAGCGCCCGTCACGACGCATGCTATATACAATTTCTCGGCTCGCGCGTCGCCCCTGTGGGGGGCGACGAACATAAAGTATAAGCACGTCGGGGCGGCGCCGATGATGCACCCCCGACACATCTCGGGATCGGGTCGCGGCTGCAGAACGCCACACCGAAAGGATGCAAGGAGGTCGGGAATGACCACGGCCCCCGCATCTTCGATGATGCGCCCCAGGATGAGTCAGGAGATCCATTGGCCTTGCTCGACCAAGAACGTCCGCGAACTGGCATTGCGCACGATCACCTCGACCTCGCCGCGAAAATCGGGGCCCACCACGCCGCCCAAGACGTCGATGCCATTCAGGGCTGGCCCTGAACGCGGGGCAAGGCGCAGGAACATGCCCGGCGGCGCAAGAATGGCCACGCCCGTAGACACCAATACACGACACTAGGTCGCGAGACTGACGTCCGCGCCGGCGCGCAGGTCGTAGCCCGCTGCCTGCGGTGCACCCCGCACTGTTGCTTGAACTCGCAGCCGTTGCTGGCGCCGTCGCCCTGGCGGTCGTTGCCCACTGCCAGCAGCGTGAGCCGCTCGGGCAATAGTCCCCGGGAGGGCGGCCGGAGTCGGTCAGAGAGCTGTCGACTGGAATGCATGGATGGCCACTCGGCGCCGATTCCAAGTCGAAGCGGACGGCGCCGGGACTCCGGTCGATTTCGCGGACGCCAGGCCCAAGGAGCGCCAGGCGCTCACGGGCTAAGCCTGCCCCACCACCCCGCTACTGGACCGCGGGGATTGCGGACCAAGACGGACAGGGAGATCGAAGCCCGCGCCCTCCACGGCCAGGGCGCGCACCCTGCGCCGCGCAATCGCGCCGTCGCGGGCGGTCACCGCGATGGGCCGGTGCGCCCCCCAGCGCGCAACATGTGACCCGTTGCCAACTCCTGCCACATAGAACGGAAACGCAGCTGCTCTGCCTGCTGGGCCTTGTCGGCCAGGTCCACGGCAAAATCTAGCCCCCAGAGGTGGACCCAAACATCGGCGCCGACGACAACGCCTACGCAGGTCGGCACGGCGGCGCGCGCAGGCCCAGGTGGGCGTCGCAGGTCACCACCACATGAGCGGGGAGCATAAACTGGAAGCGCTGCCCGGCGATTGCACAAGGTCCTGCAGCGCGGCCCCGGGCGCTGGCGCGGGCCGAAGAGACCGCGCGAAGTCGCGCCACGGCGACATCCCCAGGCGCGTCGTCGCCCGGCGCCAGGAAGGCCGGCACCAGGGCACTGGGCCCGCTAGATCAAGGCCTGCCGCGCGGGCCAGCGCCACAGGCGCCAGACCCACCGGAAGAAATCGAAAATGACAAGCTCGGCCTCGGCACGCCAGGCAGATAAGAATGAGGGCGAAGGCGTTCTGCGCGATCTGCGAACGGCATACATGGCGCAGGGTGATCCGGCATTGCAGGCGCACCACCACATCGCCGTGAACGAGGGCCCCAAAGCAGATACGACATCCCCTGTCGCCGCCGTCGGAGGACGCCGCAACGGGGGGCAGCGGGGGCCGCGGCCGGCGCAGGAGAAAATGCCTGTTGTCATCAAGACCGCGCGCGCGCCCGGCACGGGCCGCCGAGCATCTGGCCCAAGCGCCACCCGGGGGCGTCGGTGGGCGCGGTTGCGCGGCCGGGGCTGGGGCGTCGAGGAAGCGAGCGCGCCCTTGCCGGCGGCGCCAGGGGCTGTCCCGCACAAGGTGCCCCTCGGAGTCGCACTCGCGGCACTTGAAGCGCGCTCCGCCAGGGCCCAGGGCGGCCCGGACCCACGCAACCGATCCTGAACTCCCCCTTTCCCCCATCCTTACCCTTCCTGAAGCCGACGAAAGCTTCCCGAAAGTCATTCTCCGACAGGTCGGCCAGGCAGGCGCGGCAGCCGATCCCGCGGCCCTTGCCCTTGCATTCGATGGCCCTCCGCGCGCGGCGCGCGGGCCCCGCCGTGAATCGGCGCGCTCGCGGGCCCGCGAGAGGCACGCGCCGCGCTGCCCCTCGGGAACTTCGCGTAGCTCGGGGCCGTCGGCAGCAATGACTTCGCCGAATGGACCGATCGCGCCGGAGTCGGCGCCAGAGTCGACACCCGCTGCTGCGCGCGCCACCTGCGACGAGGATGCCGCGCTGGGATCGGCAACGACTATAGCTGCAGGCGGGCTCGGCGCCGCCCCCGGGGCAGCGGGGCACGCGCCATCCCAGCTCAATCCTGCCGTGGGGCCACAGGCGGGCCATTGGCATTTTGAGCCTGGTTTTGCGCGGGCGCGCCCGCGAGGAACGCGCAGCGCTGGGTCGCGCGAACGGCCGAGGCGACGTTGCCCTGCAAGCCCTCGACCATGCCCCCACGCCGCCCGGGCCAGCCGGCCACGCGCGACAGCTGCTGCGCGCTGGTCGGGTAGGCCGCGCGCAGAAATGCAAAATCACGGCGAGTTGCAAGTTCGACACGCCCACCGCACGCAGCAAGAAGTGGCCGAGGCCCTGGCAGCCGATCATGAGGCGGCCAGCATGCTGAGTCCTGTCGCGGAGGATGTCGAACCAGATAACGAGGTCGTCGATTCGCCCCTGCGGCAACCGGTTGAAATCTACTGAGGCCGATACCGATTGGGAGCGCTCCTCCTCGCCCGGCTGGCCCCGCGGCTCGGCCAGGATGCGCAAACGGGCGGTCAGGGGTGGCACTGGGTCGCCGTTGGCGCGACCCCGCTGGATCAGGAAAGCCGGCGACACCTCGTCCACGCACTTTCGCACCATGCCAGCGAGGCGATACGAGACGTAGACCGCTTGGCCAAACTCATCGTTGAAGTCGGGGTTCGCCACTGACCAGATCATGACCTCCCGCACCTAGCCGCGAAAGGGCACGCGAGCTGGCTGCTCAGGCCCCCATCTGCGGAGGGGCCGCACGTCGCGGCCACGGCCGCCAGCACCCACGCCAGCAACGCAGCTGGCGGCAGCGCCCATGCCCACTCCGATGACCCCCCATCGGAAGCGAAGCCCCCTCCACGCAACGAGGTAGCTGGAGTCCTCGCACTCACCGGCGGCACTGCTCTGGTAAAGAAACTCGAAACAAGTGTGGGTATCTGACCTGGGCATGCTCCTCCTCGACAGCGCATTGTAAGCTTCCTTCTGACTCGCAGTTGCGGTGCGATCGGGACTCGGAGCATCCCACGACATAGTCCAGGAAATGCTCGTCGCGCGTCGCGACGTTACTATACTGAACACCGCCAACTGCACGATAGTCCGAACGAATCTGCTTGGGGATCCCGGTCTGCCAGGTAGCAGGGAACGCGCCAGCAGTGCGGAACGTCATGTTCCAGGGGGTCGACGCCTGATAGTCCCAGTTTTTTTCGTGGTAGCCTGGAGCGCTGACAACAGAGTCGTCAGTCCATCCACTCATTATTTTCTCGCCCTGCTCTGCTTGAGTTTGCCTGGCTCTGGCGACACAGTCACCAGGGGCTCGGGACGCTTCGCAAATACCGTGGATGTGCGTCGCATCACTCGACTGTCTGATACCCTCGGCGACAACCACAGGTGGATGTAATGGAGGCGTTGTGTCCCTCGCTTCTTTTCTTCGCAGGCCCCTGCAACATAGTCACAAGAAACTCCGGACCCTTCACCGAAGACATGAATGTCGTGTCAAGCATCTGTCTGGCGTCGGAAGCTGCACCCACATGCGAGTGCTATAATGGCGTTGGGTCCGCGACCTGCTGTAGTTTGGGCCAGCGCGGAAGAAGGTACGGTCGTAGGCCTCGAGGTTGACACCAACACCAAGATCGACTGTGTGCCTCCATCGAGGGAGGACGATCCCGATCTCGGTGATAGTGGTAATATTTTGGCTTCAAGGTAGCCGAAATATTACCACCAACACCGAAATCTAAGGCCATCTTCCCCATGTGGAGGCGAACTCCCTGTGCTGGTGTTGGTGCCAATTTCCAGGCCTCCAATACGGGGAAGGGTAGCCTGGGGGCCACGGTCCTTGGAGCTGATGTTCCCGTAGTGGCACAAGTGCGTTTCCCCCGTAGACGCCCGTGGCAGCTGGGCGGGGTCCGCCCTGACGGCCCTAGAGAGCCGTCGCCAGCGGGCGCGAACGGGTGGAGAAGCACGAGCACGATGAACCATTGAACACGGCGAACACGGTGAGCATCATGCTGAACACGGTGAGAATGAGAAGCCTTCGCGGTCGACGAGGGGTCAGAAGAGGAGAACGCGACGCGGCCATGGCGCAGTGGATCGCCAGAGCCGAAGTTCCACTTCCAACAAGAAGTAAAGGATCAGGATAAGAAGGCAATATTTTCGGTATGAGGAACACGTGGACAGCACTCGGGAGGGAGACAATTGAGAGGGAAATCAAGCAAGAGGTACCATTCGAGCCCCCAGACCATTAGTAGCCAGGAGCCAGGAGGAGGAGTGGAAGGAGGAGGAGCAAAGCGAGCAGGACGAGGAGGAGGAGGAGGAGGGAAGGGGAAAGGACGAGGGGAGAGGGAGACCTCCACGGGCACCGGCGCCGCCTCCCGCACGACCCCGGGGTCGGTCGAGCTGCTGCTGGAGGGCGCCCCTCGGTGGAGAGACCTGAAGTACTCCTGACGGGAGACTGGGCCTCCTCTGCACCCACCACCTGGTCCCCGCGACGAGCGACATCCCCGGCCCTCCTCCTCGAGGGGCCTCTGGAGGCCACCAGAAACCTCCTCCCCCTCGTCCTCGCTCACCCTGCAGCGCCCTCTGACCCTACTGCCCCAGTCGAGAATCATTACTCCGCTCCTCCGCTCCTCCTTTACTCCATCCTCCTCCTCCTCCTCCTCCTCCTCCTCCTCCTCCTCCTCCTCCTCCTCCACTTCCTCCTCCTCCTTCTCCTCATCCTCCTCTTATTATGTTTCTTCTTCTGAGTATCATTAGTAGTAGTAGTAGTAGTAGTAGTAGTAGTAGTAGTAGTAGTAGTAGTAGTAGTAGTAGTAGCAGTAGTAGTAGTAGTAATAGTAATAGTAGTAGTAGTAGTAGTAGCAGAAGCAGTAGTAGTAGTAGTAGTAGAAGTAGTAGTAGTAGTATGAGTAGTAGTAGTAGTAATAGTAGTAGTAGTAATATTATTATCAGTATTATTATTAGTATGCCACATATTCTTAGTATGAGTATTACCATTGTTATTCTTGCTATTACTATTGATAGTGTTATTGTTAGTAGTATTAGTGGTATTATTATTAGTAGTAGTATTATCACCATTATTATTAGTAATAAGACTTGTTAATACTATGTGTATTGTTGGTATTAGAACTGGTATTATTAGTATTAGTAGTATTATTAGTAGTATTAGTATTCAAATTATGGTTCGTAATATTATGAATATTACTAGTAGTATGAAGATTAGTGTTATTATGATTATTCATTGCCTTGTTACTACTAGTATTAGCGTTCGTCTTTTATTATGATTATGTGTATTAATATATGTATACTTATCATTATTATTATTAGCATACGTATGTTTATGATTATTCGTATTATTATTACTCGTATTATTACTATTATTATCAGTATTCTTATTAGTAGTATTACTATTATTATTAATATTATTATTCATTTTTACTATTATTATTATGATTATTATTATTATTACTATTATTATTATTATTATTCGTCCTCTTCGTCGTCCTCCTCCTCCTCCTCCTCCTCCGCCTCCGCCTCCGCCTGCGCCTCCGCCTCCGTCTCCGCCTCCGCCTCCGCCTCCGCCTCCTCTCCTCATCCTCCTCCTCCTCCTCCTCCTCCTCCTCCTCCTCCTCCTCCTCCTCCTCCTCCTCCTCCTCCTCCTCCTCCTCCTCCTCCTCCTCCTTACACACACACACACAATTTCCGGAGATCCACGTGAACTTACTGGGTCGGCGCTGGACCACCTTCCTGGCAAGGCGCGCCGACCAAAGAAAGCTGCGCGGAACTCCAGAGGTCGATGTCTGTGCAATTTCTGCTGTTGCTCGGTGCCCGGCTCCTTTTGCTCCGCTGGGGGAGCCGCCCTACGGCGCCTGAAGAAGCCCCGGTCTGGCGCCGCCGGGTGGGCCCGAGGGCCCCATGCTGGCGCGTCGCCGGGCGGCCAGGTGGCCTCCTGCAGCTGCCTCGCCCGGCGGCTGGCGAGAGGGACAGTCTGGGAGGGTTCGCCTCACCGCCCAAGAGGGTCCATCGGGGGGCAGGGAGGAGGGGGAGCAGTCTGGCCGCAAGTCCACGTGATTAAAGGAGTCCAGGCGGCGCTGGGGATGATCACACCGAATCGAGAGAGGAGGGGGAGGGAGGAAGGGAAAGAGTGAGGGGGGGAGGGAGCGACGGAGGGAGGGAATATTGGCGACAAGGATGGCAAAGGAGGGAGGGTGTGGAAATGCAAGCAAAAGGAGGAGGAGGGGGAGGACTCCAGGGTTCTAGGGGGGCTCAGTGTTCGAAGACAAGAGGAGGGATGAGGAGGAACGAGGGAGAGGAAAAAGAATTCGTATGATTCCCCTGAATCTCCAAGTACCCGCTCAAACTCTTCCTCCGCCTCCCTTCGCATGCCTCCCCCAACGCTAATGCCGCGGGTACCTGGTCCGAGTCCTCCTCCTCCTCCTCCACCAACCTCTGCACATCTCCGCTCTTCTCCTCCTCCTCCTCCTCCTCCTCCTCCTCCTCCTCCTCCTCCTCCTCTTCTATTATTCTTAGTATAACTCTGATAAGGATTCCTAGTCGTAGTACTATTCTTATGATTAGGAGTGTTAGCATTATTGGTATGCTTAGTACTACCAGTATTACTAGTAGTAATACGACTATTACTATTAAGTTGTCTGTCGTTGTGTGTCTTAGTACTCATACTAATAATAGTATTAGTGATATTACTGCTACGAATATTAGTATTACTAGTCGTAGTTTACTCCTACTACGCATAGTATTCATTTCCTTCTTCTTATAGTATTATTATCCGTGCTCCGTCTTCGTCTTGTTTCTATTCCTAATATTACGTATAACAGTATTCCTATTCTTACTAGTACGGTTAGTATGAGTGTTATTGTTAGCCTTCTTGCTATGATTAGTGAACGCCTGATTGTCAGTATCATAATTGTTCATAGTAGTATTATTATGAATATTATTATCATGGTTCATCATATTTGTATTGTCATGTGTCCCTCATTTCTTATTACTATCAATGTTTTGTTGTTCTTATTATGAATAGTCATCTTCTTCGAAATACTCTTCGTGTAATGCTTAATAATGTTAGTGTGCGTATGCACAGTATTACCTGACTTATGGTTGTTACTAACATGCGTCTTAGTATGGTTACAGTTCTTCGTAATATCATTCATACTATTCGTAATAGTAGTCGTATTAGCATTATTATTATAACTTGTAAGTGTTCCTCGTTCTCCTCCTCCTCCTCCTCTTCCTCATCCTCCTCCTCCTCCTCCTCCTCCTCCTCCTCCTCCCCCTCCTCACCCTCCTCCTCCTCCTCTTCCTCTTCCTCCTCCTCCTCCTCATCATCATCATCATCATCGTCCTCCTCCTCCTCTTCCTCCTATCCCTCCTGCTCATCCTCCTTTTCAGTTTCCTCCCCCTCCTCTTCCAACTCCCCCTC